CACCCCCGCTGCAAAACAAGGAATAACGGCCACAAGTTGTTGGAGAGTAGGTTTAGATTATACATCCATAAGAACTACTTCACAGTTAGGGCGGCTAGGATCTGGAACCAATTTCCAAGGGAAGTGGTGCTGGCTCCTACCTTGGGGCTCTTTAAGAAGAGGCTTGATGCCTACCTGGCTGGAGTCACATGAGCCCAGTTTTTCTCCTGCCCAGGCAGGGGGTCGGACTTGAAGATCTACAACATCCCTTCCAACCCTACTTCTATGATTGTATGAAAGACTATTTTAGGCCCCACTATTAATCAGGCATGCTTTATTCCTGGTATGCAATGCACACAGCTTTTTAAATGATTATTATTTATGATCCATTAATGCCTTAGGTCCCCTGTTACAGACCACGACTTTGTTGTGTGAGACCTTGACTAATCCTTACAATGTTCTGTGGTATAGGTATGTGTTATTACTCTGTTCAGCCTACCGGGGCAACATAGTTGGTAAATCTAATTTTGCCCCACTTTCTTGGATCCAGAATGGGTAACATTCAGGAAATCGAGTGAATGGGTAACATTCAGGGGAGGGGGAAACAATAGAGAAATTTCTAAGGCATTTCTTTTCTCTGTCTTTGCTGATATGCTCCTTCTGCTCTCAGGTTCCTGACTGAAAGACATTTTTTTTGCAAAAATCTTGTTGGTCTAATAAAAGATAGCACCTCTACTGTAAGCCCCGACTGCTTTTTCCTCTAGACCGATATGACTACAACCTGGATTCCTGACAGACTGAAATAGAAAAATTGATAGCATAATGATATGGTAGCATGCCAGACTGATGCCTGCTGCCCTTACCAGTGTTTCAGGTCCACAGCATGCATTGCTGAGCACCCTGAAAAGAGTGTTCTTATGCACGAGTGTTCGAGTCCAGTGGCTGCTTTCTTAAAACATGGTTTTTAATAGTCTGCCTATTAAAAAGAAGAATCCTTGCAGCAGCTCCAGTATGTGGCAGTTCTAGGAATGTGATGCCGGGAAATTGTTAGTTGGTCACTGAAAACAGAAAGCAGAGAGTAATTTCAAAGACAAGGCTGCCTTCCAGAATGATCTATTAAGGAAAGATTTTAGCTCAGGCAGAGTAAGTTAAGAAGGAAAGGTAACAGCATACTGAGGCAGAGGTGTTGAGAACCTGCCATTTTCATGAGCTGTAATGAGTGCGGGATCAGAACCTGCTTGTAGTGCACTTTATGGATGAACCAACATCCTTGATATTAAAGGCTTTCCAAGTCCCTCAAGCTATTTGGTTCACAAATTTCATTTGAATCTCTGACATTTCCCAATTTTGCACACCAGATTAAACACATGCAAGGGAGAAGGTTCAAGATTGCAGGTTGGCACTTACTGGTCCTGTTTATGTTGTTTTTTTATTTGAATATATGTGTTTCATTCC